TCCTGGGATGCTTTAGTAGGGAGCTGGATAGGAAACAGAGTAGTAGTAGGGGACAGAGACCAACACTTCAGTATGCATAACTGAAACTCTACCTGCAGAGACAGAATTCCTTATCCTTCTCCCTCAGCCCCAACCCCTGCATATATTGAGCACCACCTGTATAACAGCACTGCCCACATACTCCACAGACATGTTTTAGGCTGCAGGCCTCTGGGCTGGGGTTATCTGGGATTGAGTTAAACTCTTCCTACCTGGTAGCTCCGTGAGCTGGGGATAGGTCATTTAACTCCCTCAAGCCTCAGTTTCCTTCTCTGTACAACTGGGAATAACTGGAATTACCCTTGTGTGGAAGTGCGGAGAGTTACTTGAAGGGCTGGATAGTAGCAGTTCTTTCCCATGACTCTCCGGGGCTCTGTGGAAGATGAGACAGGTGAGGCATGGCTGTGGGTAAAAAAAAAAAATGTACAGGGGCAGCACAGATCCACAGATCAATGTGCCTGGGTCCACTTCCCAGCTCTGGTTCCAAATCCTTCTTCCTGCTAACCTGCACCCTGGGAGGCAGAGGATGATGGTTCACGTGGGAGACCTGGATGCAGCCCCAACCCTGGCTGCCCTGGGCATTTAAGGAATGAAACAGCATGTAGAAGTTGGAATCTCCGTATCGCTCTAACAAGTAATCAAATTTTTAACTTTTATTTCTTTGAAAGCTAGTTACAGAGAGAGAGAGAGAGACATCTCCGTCTGCTGGTTCACTCCCCCAAATGGCTGCACCAGCGGGGGCTGTGCCAGGCCAAAGCAAGAGCCTGGAGCTCCACCCTAGTCTCCCACACCGGTGCAGGGGCGCAAGCACTTGGGCCATCTTCCACTGCTTTCCCAGGCCAGCTCGAACCAGTGCCCATAAGGGATGCCAGCACTGCAGGAGGTGGCTTTACCCACTACACCACAGCACCGGTCCCCTCCCTTATCTTTGATATGCCTCATGCTGCCCGCATGACATCAACTTCTTACCACCCCAAATCCAGCAACAAAGCACCCCAGGCTGGCCGGGCCCCCACTGCAAGGCGGGGCCTCCATCCTGGCTGCAGCCCCTACCAGCCCGAGAAGGAAGAGGAGGAGGAGGAGGAGGAGGAGGAGGAATCCAGGCTAACTCCTCTGTGGGAAGCTCTCGCTATTAATTAATTAATTAGGGCAGCGCTGGCCTGCGGCATCCCCGAAGCCCCCAGAGTCATTAAGAGAGGGGGCCTCTCATTAGCGTCTGGCAGCTTCCCCACTGTTCCCCGGGGGGGCCCCAAGAAGCAGGGGCGGAGCCGGAAGCTGGGGGGCGAGAGACGGGAACGGAAGTTGGGGGCGGGGCCGGAAACTGGGGGCGGGGCGGCCGGAAGCTGAGGGGCGGGCTTAGGGGAGGTCGGGTCTCCCGGCCCCATAACCAATATGGGCCTGACGTGTAAATCGGGTGCTCAAGAGCAGAAGTAGAGTCTCAGGAGAGAAAAGGAGGGGGAACTAGACATGAAAGCTCCGGACCGCCGCCCCAAACTCGAAAATTCCTTGTGCTCCCTGCTCATGTGCCTAGGAAGCAGCAGGGGAGGGCTCTAGCGCTTGGGCACCTGCCACCCACTGGGGAGACCCGGATGGAGCTCCTGGCTCGGGTTTGGCCCGGCTGCTGTAGGCATCTGGGGGGTGAACCGGGAGATGGAAGATAGTCCCCTGTCTCTGTGTGTTTCTAATCATCAAATAATCTTTTCGAGATTTATTCTATTTATTTGAAAGGCACAGTGACAGAGACACCTTCCATCTGCTGGCTCACTCCCCTAAATGGCCACAATGGCCAGGGCTGGGCCAGGCCAAATCTAGGAGCCAGGAGCTCCATCCGGGTCTCCCACGTGGGTGCAGGGGCCCAAGGACTTGGGCCATCTTCTACTGCTTTCATAGCAGAGAGCTGGATCGGAAGTGGAGCTGCCAGGACTCGAACCTGCGCCCATATGGGATGCCAGCACTGCAGCGGCGGCTTTATCCACTACACCACAGCGCCAGCCCCATTCATTTATTATTTTTAAGATAACGTATTTTTGGCTGGCGCCGAGGCGCACTTGGCTAATCCTCCGTCTGAGTCACCGGCACCCCCCCCCCCCCCGGGGTCTAGTCTCAGGCGGGGAGGCCGGAATCCGGCCCCGGTGCGTCCTCTTTCAGTCCAGCTCACCTGCTGAGGGCCCGGGAGAGCCGGTAGAAGATGGCCCAAGTGCTTGGGTCGTGCACCCCATGGGA